GCGTCCTCATATTACCGTGGCCACGCCCCCTTCGCGTGACCACGCCCCTCAAGCAAATGTGGCCACGCCCCCCGGCTCTGCTGGCTCAGGAGGCGGTTGGGGGGAGCGGTGCGAGGGGAGGCGGCGGTTTGCGGTCCGGGTGGGGGAGGAAGGGAGTTGGGCTCTCCTGCTGCTCTGTGCCGTTCAGCAGGGTGAGGAGCATGCTGCTCCAAGCGAGGCAGATGTAGGGTGAGTTTCCTAGTAGGCTTGGTAAGAGGGCACCTCAGGTCCCACGTGTAGCAGACAGCTGCAGACCCTTAAAGTTCTAGTCCAACTCCCCTGCAATGAACAGGGACACCCACGGCTCCATCAGGTGCTCAGAGACCCTCCAGCCTGACCTTCTATGTCTCCAGGGATGGGGCATCCACCACCTCTCCGGGAACCTTGTGCCACTGCCTCACTACTCTGATTGTAAAATATTTCTTCCTTATATCCAATATCTAAATCTTCTCTCTTTTAGTTTGAAACCCCCAGTGGTTCTGGCTGGGGCGTGTGGTAGTGTCAGAGCTGTGAAGCTGAGGAGCGGTGCCTTAGGTGGCCATGCCAGGGTCTGCAGCCTTGACAGAATCAGGTGGACCACCCTAAAGTGTTCCTGCTATTTGGCCATGTTTGAACAGGACACAGCTGCGTTGAGGTTTCTTCTGTTCCGCACCTGAAGCCTCTGTGATGTTTGCCGTCTCCTCTCTCTGTCCTGCCTTGGCTTTGCTCTCCCGCCCTGTTGCCAAAATCTCTGTGGCAGGATTCCTCCCAGAGACCTTCTTCCTTTGCTCCTCTGCCACACTGAATTTCCACAACTAATCTGCTTCTTACCTTCTCCAGCACTGGCAGCCTGCTGGTTCAGCTTATTGGTGTCTGGAGCTAAGCTAGACTTACAGTTGTGACCACAACCTTGTCACGATGGCTTCAGTCTTTCGACTTCTTATTTCTGTTCCCACTTTGATTTTTACCCAGAATCTCAATAACTATAATAGTTTATAATCTCATGTGGTAATCTTGCTTGCTTTTATCCTTCCTGTCTCTATTAGCAGGAACAACACTGATACCCTATTGGAAACACTAGGGTTTCTTGTTTGTGCTGCAGTTCTTCCACTACCCCTATCCAGACTCTTGCCTTCCTTCGTATCCATCCTGCTTATCTTCAAACTTCAGGGTTTCCTGTGGAGTTTGCACACTGAGCCAACTGCTTGCACTCACTGTCGGAAGTTCTTTGTCTCCACTTTCATCCTAGGCCTTCATTTTTTTTCCAGTCTGTTCTATCCCTGCTAATTTGCAGGTGGTGTTCCTCAAGGTATTGGTGGAAAATAGTGGCTGTCAGGTGAAGTTCCTGGTGATTGGAAAGGCAGTGTCAAACCTGTGTTTAAGAAGGATCGGAAAGAAGAGCCAGGGAACTACCAATCTGTCAGCCTCACTTTGGTGGTGGGGAAGACCATGGAGTATATTGTAGATCCTCCTGGAAGCTATGCTAAGATACGGGGAAGTGAGGGAGGTGATGCGGGATATCCAGCATGGCTTCATTAGGGGTAGGTACTGCCTGACCAAACGTTGATTTTTGTGATGATGAAATGGTGTGAGTGGACAAGGAAAGAGACACTGGGCTTCAAGTAAGGCTTTTGACACAGTCTCCTGTAACATCCTACTCTTCAAATTGAAAGGATACAAGTTTAACAGGTTGATTGTTCAATGGATGAGGAACTGGTTACAAGATAGACCAAGATATGTACCCAGAGAGTGGTGGTCAATGGTTCGATGTCTGGATGGAGACTGGTGATGAGGCATGTCCCTCAGGAGTCAGTACTGAGCCTGCTGCTCTTTAACATCTTCATTTGTGACACTGACAGTGGGATCATCCCCCTGTACTCAGCTCTGGTGAGGCCGCACCTCAAGTACTGTGTTCCGTTTTGGGCCCCACTGCAAGAAAGACAGTGAGGCCCTGGAGCGGTTCAAAGAAGGGCCACAAACCTGGTGAGGGGTCTGGAGCACAGGGTTTATGAGGAGTGGCTGAAGGAGCTGGGATTGTTCAGACTGGAGGAGGCTCAGGGGAGACCTCACTGCTCTCTGTAACTGCCTGCAGGGAGGTTGTAGTGAGCTGGGGGTCGGCTTCTTCTCTCGTGTAACTGGTGATAGGACTAGAGGGAATGGCTTCAAGCTGTGCCAGGGGAGATTTAGGCTGGACGTTAGGAAATACTACTTCTCTGGAAGAGTGGTCAGGCACTGAATGGGCTGCCCAGGGAGGTGGTGGAGTCACCGACCCTGGAGGTGTTCAAGGAACATTTGGATTTTCTGTTGAGAGACATTTTTTAGTGAGAACTGTTGGTGATGGGTGGATGGTTGGACTGGGTGATCCTGTGGGTCTTTTCCAACCTTGGTGTTTCTGTGATTATGTGAATCGAGTGCACCCTAAGCAAGTTTGTGGATGACACTAAGCTGTGTGATACAGTCAACATGCCTGAGGAACTGGATGCCATGCAGAGAACTAAACAGGCTAGAGCAGAGGACACAAATGAACCTCATGAGGTTCAACAAAGCCAAGTGCAAGGTCTTGCACCTGGGTAGTGGTTATCCCCATTGCAAGTACAAGCTGGGGGATGTAAGGATAGAGCACAGCCTTGCCAAAAGGACCTAGGTGTACTAGTGGGTGGTAAGGTGGACATGTGCCAGCAGTGTGCCCTCACAGCCCAGAAAGCCAACTGTATGATGGACTGCATCAAAAGCAGTGTGGCCAGCAAGGCAAGGGAGGTGATCCTGCCCCTCTCCTCTGCACTGATGAGACTTCACCTGGAGTACTGAGCATCCAGAAGTGGAGTCCTCAGTACAGGAGAGACAGAGACATGTGGGAATGCGTCCAGAGGAGGGCCACAAAAATGATCCAAGGGATGGAGCACCTCTCCTATTCGGACAGGCTGAGAGAGCTGGGGCTGTTCAGCCCAAAGAAGAGAAGGCTTTGGGGAGACCTGAGCGCAGCCATGCAGTACTAAAAGGGAGGCTGTATGAAATAAGGGAACAGACACTTTAGCAGGATCTGCTGTGATAAGACAAGAGAAAATGGTTTCAAACTAAAAGAGGGAAGATTTAGATGTTGGATATAAGGAAGAAATATTTTACAATCAGGGTAGTGAGGCAATGGCACAGGTTGCCCAGTGAGGTGGTGGATGGCCCATCCCTGGAGACATTGAAGGTCAGGCTGGAGGGGCTTTGAGCACCTGGTGTAGCTGTAAGTGTTCCTGTTCATTGCAGGGGAGTTGGACTAGATGAACTTTAAGGGTCCCTTCCAACTCCATTGGTTCTTTGATTTCTTGATCAAACACCACTCACACTCCTTAATCCCAGTCAGTTTGAACCCAAGCAACCTACATGAGAGAAACCAGGAGCATTTTTCCATGCTTATTTGTGTGTGCTTATCAGCTGTGAACTCTACATCCGGATTTTTATCAGTGTTGCAGGAGGCACAGAGGTTGCACAGAGGGCTTTGAGGTCTCCATCCTTGGTGGTTTTCAAGACCAGACTGGTTAAAACTCTTAGTATCCTACACTTAACGCTCCTGTCCCTTCCAGCCTGGATGTTTGTCCTGTGCTATGGCCCAGTGCCAGGCAGAATCTGGCAGTCAAGGACTGGAATGGTAAGATGTAGTGGATCACGTAGGAAGGCAAGACATGATCATGGAGTATTTTTTTTCCCCAGTTCTTGAAACTGATCTTTGGCTTGGTAAGGATTCCTGCATTGTAGGTTGTTGCTGTTATTGGCTTATTATCATTATTATTATGCTTGTTGTGATGTTTGGCCATTCATTCAAACTTGCCGTGGTTAACATTGGACTCCAGGCTTCCTCTTCAAGTTTCTGCTTCTTCCTTTCTCCATCGCCTTATTTTATTGCCGTTAAAGCTTGTAAGCTGAATGTCAAATCTGAAGTTGTTCCTGCTTACGTGCTTCAGGGTTCTGTTCATTCTTTTCATCACAATTTTTGTTGATTACAGTTTTTATAATGCTATACTTCCATTTAAATTAATCTTTTCCACATAGAAATTTGTAGTCTCAAGCTTACCTATCTTTGAAGTGAATTATTGAAGTATTTTCTTTTCCTAGAGATCCCCTTGTTTGTATGTTCATGTGAGAATTTTCTTAATCTTTGTAAATGTTCCTGTGAGCCAGTAGTTTTCTGATTATGGCACTTCTCATTTCTCTTGAAAGTCACCATCTCTGGTTTGTCTTCTGTGCTTTCCTTCTGATTACAAGTTTTTAAGACTGAGTCTTTGTTTCATGTCTTATGTCATATTAGCTCTATACTAAAAAAAAAACCTGAACTCTATAATCTGGAACATAGCTAACCTTGAAAATCACTGTGAAGCAGAAGTGCGTTAAACTTGGCTGGTAATAAGAGGACTCCTGAAACCAAACCAGGAATTTTATGATTTAAATAAATATCATTGTCTGCAATCATAATCTAAAAGGAAGCCGGAAAGAAGCATAAATATACTACTTGCATACTCAGCTTTTTTTCTTTTTTTTTAAACTGGGTCAACTGTTGCTCATACTAAATCTGTTTATCCAGCAGAAAACTATTTCTGAGACCTTTCAGAATGCTTAATGTGGGGTGCTTCACTAATTTCCTGCTCCTCCTTTTCCTCAAACAAGAAAAACTTTGCCTTGCCTTCTGTGACAAACCTGCTGAAAATCGTTCTTTAATGGAAGCACTCCAAGGTTAATGGAATAGCTCTTTCAGTTTCTTTTTATAATATCACTGATTTATTTCTTGAAACACTAATGATAATTAGAAAAACTGTTGAATCAATCACTGAGAGAACATATCTCCCTTTTTGGCCACTTGTGCTGTGTTATGATTCTTGTATTGCCCAGTTTATATGAGCAGACCATCCATAGTTCAGCACATTAAACTGGAGATGACTATTTCTTTTGTTTTGTCTTCTTGTCAGATTTTTCTGATCTTTGGAAACATCTTCAGTCAAAGCAGAAAATGGCTGAACAGCCAAAACTACTGCGTAGACCTCTGCCTCCCAGGCTGCCATCTAAACTGCCTACATCAAGGGAGAAGGTTGGTAAAGGTAAATTATATAAAAACAGTTCTTGTAGTGCATAGTTTCAAATTCCATATGTTCTCTGAAGTTAACACACAAGAAGATGAATCTTGTTGGTTAATCTGTAAATTCACAACAGAGCGCAGGGAAATATCCATGCTGGCTTCAGTCAGGCAGTTCTAATGCTGAAGCTCCTTGATAGTGCAGTATGGAAGATCGTGAACAATGCTGATGTTCAGTGCAAGCATACTAATGCATGTTGATGCTAGCCCACTCTCTTACTGAGTGCAAAATGTGCTGGAGGTGTCTATTTGTAATTGCTGTGGCTCTTCAATAAGTGATTAGTCTACATAATCATAGAATCATAGGATGATTTGGGTTGGAAGAGACCTTTAAGATCATCTAGTTCCAGTCCCCTCTATAGGCAAGGACGCTTCCCTCTAGACCAGTTTGCTCAAAGCCCCATCCAGCCTGACCTTACCAGCATGTGTTGTAAGCTGCTAGGGCAGAGCAGTGTGAATAGGTCTGTGTGATTATCTGAACTATTGCATCTCTCTGGGAGGCTGTTCATGTAAAATAATGGAAGGGTGGTTGAGACAGGTGTGGGAACCTGCCATTTTCTGACTTGAATGCTACCCCACTAGCTTGTCCAAGAAAATAAGATATAACATGAGAAACCCCTAGTTTCGGGAAAAGTTGTATTGAAACAGATGAGAATCAAACCTCAGGGGTAGTGACATACAACTTTGATTCAGAGAAAATAAGAAAAAATGTTTGGAGGGGGTGGTCATATTCTTAGAATGTCCATGTATGTGAAAAGACATATACTGGCTTATATTATTTTAAAGGCATCAGGAAATCCTATTTAAGAACAGAGACTTGCAGTGCAGTATGGTTCAGAAATAAGTAGACATTTTATGCGCCAGTATATGTGAATGAAAAGCTCTTTTCAGTTTATATAAAGTAGCCATTGATTAAATATTTAAGCACTAACCTTTAAAAATAAAAACAAAAAAGCAATAAAATGATCTATAATAAAATATTTTTAACACAAGTGATATAAGAAGCTGGAAACTATTCACTGATCCTGAAGCCAGAACTATAAAAGAGATTCTTGATGTTTGAACAGATTTGCTGACTTCAGCAAAACTGTGAGACTTCAGGATCTGCTGTAGAAATATGGCATATTGAATTGTTCAACTTTTTTTTCCACCAATTAACACATGAAAATTAATGTAATATGAAATAATAAAGGTCGTATCAAAGAACTGTGCTGTCCCTACAAACTGATCTGAAGTGATAGATCATTTACTGCTTTTTATTTCCCTCTGGATTCTGTAATTCTGTTAGAGCATCTAAATAGCTAAAACTATTCAGTCTTCACGTAATCATGAGAGACTAGAAGGAAAAAATATTTTGTGTTATGTTTGAAATAAATTATAAGCAACTTTATTTGTTACAGCTCATTTGTTTTTTGGTTTTTTTGTTTGTTTGTTTTTAGAACACTGTCATGCTATATTTGTAATTATTAACAGGTAACACTAACTTTAAAGGAAAAACGATGACATATTGTGTAATTTCTTTATAAAAGTGCTAAAAATATTAAGGAGAATTCAGTTAAACAAACGAACAAAAAAAAAAGTAATTATTAGGCCCTTCTGAAGCTAGCAAAATCTATTCAATACATTTCCAGCCTGGCGCTGTCGAAACAGATGTAAATATTTCTGGCTCAATACCAGAGCTATGCTCCCATGATTTAAAACATTTTAAAAGTGATAGATAAACCTTTTATCCTCAGAGTTTTATTGTGATGGCTCTTCTTGTAGTAGAGCATATGATTAGTGATGGTTGCTATTTATGGATTATGTATTTTTGCAGTACACCTGACAAGAATCCAAGATCTGCACAATAAAGTTTGTTCAAGGATCATTTCTCCAAATGTAACCGTTGCACCTGACAGATATTTAAACAGCAGCATGACCATTGATCAAAAAGCAACTCTTCAGCAATGGTGTTTCAATCATTTTTGGGGACAGAATTGTTTTGTGCTTCATGAAGTGTGAGACTCAGACCTGGGGCCTGGAGCTCTGAGCTAGGAAAAAAAAGATGAGCCTTTTAGTGGTACGTCATAAGTGTCTTCCTCAGCAGGGAACTGTAGAAAGTGAGGATGTAATACAATAAAGCAGTTGACTGAAAATGCAGAAGAAATTTCAAGATGTGGTGGTGGACTGTACCTGGTACAGAGCTTGAAGTTGTCAGCCACAGTACTGGAGGGCAAGAAATCAAGGGAGATAACCCAATGGTCCCAGCTTTGGGAGCTGAGCTGCGACAGAGAGCTAGAGAGAGAGGCTTCTCCTTCAGCAGGTCCCAGAAAATAAGTTTCCCTAGCAAAGGGAGCAAAGCAGCAAGCTTGTGGAACTACACAGGCTGAATAAAGAGTAATTTTGTAAGAATTTCTTTGTTGATAGAAGTGTTCAGGGCTAATTACTTCTGGATGCAGTACTGTTTGGAAGCTAGGGTCTAGCTAAGGAGCCTTCAGAATGAGCCCTGGTAGCAAAGTGGCTATTATGTGAGGAGTATGAAATGAATCTCCACCTCAGTGGTGTGGGACACTAGGGCTCAGCACCATCACACCGCACTCATTAAACTGAGATGAATAAGCTAAGTCAATAGAATTTCTAAGCTTCATTCTCAATGTCTTTCTTTTCTCTTGTTTTCAGCAGGCAGGGGTTTTGGACAATACCGAGCTAGAGTGACGAAGAGTACGAATGATAAAAATGGAAAAGCTGTGTCTGACAGTTATGCCAGTACTCAAGGGCAAGTCAAGCAGACAGATGTTTCCTTCAGCCATGGTCACGTTTCCCAGAATCCGGTGAAAGCCCAGCCCGGAGATGCATTCCTCTCTGTACATCAGATTTGCCAAAATCAAGCACAAATCCAACTCAAAGATCTCCTTCAGTCTCAATACCTGTCCAGCAGTATCCAACCCCAATTTGACCACATTTCCTCTTGTTCAGTACATTTCCAACGCCAACATGTACGTCAGCTTAATCAAGACAGTAAATATAGGCAAACACAGATCCAGTCCAAAAGGACAGGTTTTCATGACCAAAGGAGAGGTTTAATTCTGTCTGAAACAAGTTTCCCTGCAGAAGATGTGAAGCAGAAGGGTGATCTAGTTTTTAAGAATAATAAGTCTGCACACTGGTCTTTACAAGGCAATACTGTAAGCCTGGTTGGTCAATATGAAGTTATTCCTATCTGCTCAAGCAGACCAATGCCAAACCAAAGCAAAGAAAAAAATGTGTTTTCTGCCCAAATTCCTAGGAGGGATTTTATTCTTACTAAAAGTCCCAGTGGGTCTGATTACTTCTCATTTTGCAAAAATCATAAATTCTCTCATGTGAAGCATCAAAAATTACAGAGCACTGGCCCTGCCCATTCCACTCCTCCTGTATTTACACTGGAAAGTTTAGCTGCAGGTTCTTCTCACCATCTGCCTTTGAAGACAACCCTCAAAAAGCCGTTTGTTTCCCGCTACAACTATGAAGTCCTCAGTAACCGGTTAATGACTGAAAACAGGAGCTTGCAGACTGAAGTTAACACAGTGATTTTGTCTGACATCACTCTACCTGCAGATGAAACAAGAAAGCCTGAGCAGCAGAAGTTCCTAGGTAATTAATATTAAACATTGTAGTATCTTTTTGCAATCTCTTGCAGGGAGAAAGAAAAAAACCACCAAAAAACCAAAAAAAACCACTCTGTTTTTGTTTGTGTGGGTCTTTGAATTTGCCCTCATTACTTGAGAAATAACTAGTGCAGAATTATAACTTGTGATAACTAAGTGAAATGTTGTGTCTTCAGATAGCAGCACACGGTGATTTAAACGTATGCAACTTTATTATAAAGATGGTGTATGGGAATTGTGAAAAGTCCTGTCATTTAGGTCTTTGAAAATGGTGGGTCCATTCATCACCGTGGATTTAAGAAGGCAGTTCTGACCCTTATATGGGTCTTTGGCCTTGTTTTCCTGTATCTTATTGAACGCAAAATGAGGAACAGACTTAGAATCATAGTATCACAGAATCATTAAGGTTGGAAAAGACCTCTAAGATCATCTAGTCCAGCTGTCAGCCCATCACCACCACACCCACTAACCATGTCCCTCAGTACCATGTGTCCATGTTTCTTGAGCACCTCCAGGAACAGTGACTCTACCACCTCCCTGGGCAGCCTGTGCCAGTGCTTGATGTCTCCTTTGTAAAAGAAGCATTTCCTGATATCTATCCTGATATCCCGATATCCTGATATCCAAGTTGCACCTCTCCTGATGCAACTTAAGGCCATTTCTGCTAATCCTATCACTATTATGTGGGAGAAGAGGCCAACCCCCACCTCACCACCTCCCCTGAGCCTCCTCTTCTCCAGACTCAACCATCTCAATTCCCTCAGCTTCTCTTCATAAGAGTTGTGCTCCAGACCCTTCACAGTTTCAGTGCCCTTCTCTGGACATTCTCCAGCTTAAAACAAAGATATATTTGTTTTTGTAGGATTTTCTTCAGGACTGACCAGTGACCTACTGTGTCCTGTTTTAGTGATATTGCACAAATGGTTGAGCTGATATAAGCCAAAAGAAGGGAAGAAGTGGAAGGAAGAAGCAATGGGGAATTCCGTAATCTGATGTTGCTTCCAGTTACATAGTAGCTTGGAACAAACTGTCAATAAGCTGGAGGAAGAGCAGTGAATTCCCTAGAGGATCCTTTTTGCTTTCTCAGTGCTTCTGCAAATAAGTTTCCTTCCACAGCTATAGCAGCGAAAAGCCTTCCATGGTTTCCATCCTGGGATATGTTAAGGTGAAGCTGGGTTTAACAACTGGGTTTAGAGGTGCTCCAAGAAGCTGATATTTTGTAATTACCTCGCATGAATTCAGCCTTTTTTTCTCTCAGAAAGCCAAGTCTCAACTGTATTCCTTGGTGTCAGTTTTCCACTACTGACAAGTGAGTAACTGTGACTCAAGGGAAGAAGTGTTTGCCTCATCCTCCCACTGTGGCAGTCTAGAAGCAGGTATAGAGTTATTTCTGTACTATCGCTATAAATCATTAGCACAGTGGAAATGGTGTGTCAGTGTATGGTAATATGAAAGATGGAAATGCACAGTCTCAAATAGTGGTCACACTTAGGGACTGTGTGCTTTGGCACAGGGGATGCGATTCTGGTTACTGATGTGTGGCTCTGTTGCACAGGCACAACTTCAAGAAGGAAGCCATTGCACTGGCAGGAACTCTGTTTCCTGTGTTCAGAGTGTGAGAAATGTGATGCATTTTGTAAGAGAAAGGTGGCACTCAGATTCTTCCGATGAAATGCAGGGGCAGACAACTGGCTATAAAGTTTGTGTTCCTAGTTGTATTCCATGTACCCAGACATGTGAAAGGCTAGAAGCAGCACCATGGGCTTTTCTGCAGGCTCTAGTTGGACCACGCTGCTTATCCAAACTCTGCATGGGTGGAAATATAGGTGCTGTGCCACTTGGGACTAGAAAAGTAGTTTTGAGAAGGTGAACAACATGTGGACATTTCATCCTACTGGAAAGGTACTTTGTTGGAGCAGTAGTCTGATGTGGTTCTTTTCAGCAGCACTGTAAAGAAGGAAAGTATAATAAATCCAGAGCATTTCCTGAGGCCTTGTCTCTGCCTCTCCAGTCCCTTTCAAGGTCATCCAACCAGGGAATAACTGGTACTGTAGTGTCCCCTTCTCCCTTTCTTTCTCAGGCAGATGCATCCCTTCTTCCTAACTTTGAGTGTTATCTCAATAGCATTTCTAAAGAGATCTGTGAAGCTGGCAAACCACTGCTACCTTAAGTGGTGATTGCATGCTGAAACTGAAACCTTGGGGAGGCAGTTCGTACCACCCAATGTGAAATCCCTCAAGTTGATCATTTAATCATAATCATAATGCATGCTTGTTCCTTAACCCATGGAGAGAGGGACAGAAGCTTCCAGAAGGCAAGTACTAACCCAAGATAAACATCTAAGATGAATGGAATGAACAAAACACAAAATAGATTACCTCCTTTTTGACCACTTATAATAAATTACAGCTTTGCAGTGACATTTGCTGACTGACACTTCATGTTATACACCCATGGTCAGCTGCAGAACTGTGTGAAAAGGAGCAGACCCATGGCGACACTATTTTAAGCACAGAAACTGAAAGCTGTTCACTATAGCCAGCAATGAGGCTCTATTCTGGTTGCTGTACCACAGCTACATATATGATGATTGTGGCTTAGAGAAAGGCGTTACTTGAGATTAATTGAGAGAACCAGTAAATTGAGTGTGTGCAGCTGCTAAGCTATATATTTGTTCACCTCCTGGTACTGCTTGGGCAAATTACTATCTGATGTCAGATTTTAGTGCTGAGAATGCTTTTCTGTGAAACTATTTTGTAACAGTGTCAGCACAAACCTTTTTATGATCAACCTTTTTATGATCAATCTTAGGCTCAGATTTTCTAGGACATAATTACTTCTCAAGCAGGCTGGGTCCAGCTGGTTGGAAAATGTTTTGCACAAAAGGATCAGTAGACCTGGTGGTTGACAAGTTGAATGTGATCCAGCATCATGTCCATGTGGCAAAGAAAGCCGCTCAGATACTGGCAATATTTTGAAAAGCGTAGCCAGCAGTTCAAGGGAAGTGATTATAACTTCATATTCAGCACTTGTAAAACCACACCTGGGACTCCCCACTATAGGTCAGATATTGACATGCTCCAGCAGAAGAGGCAAGTGACGCTAGCTGGGAAATGGAAAATTGTCATTAGATATAAGGAACCCTATGCTGTGTTGGCCAAACACTGGCACAGGTTGATGGGAGAAGTTGTGGCTTTACATCCTTGGAGATAATCAGCAGGAAAAGACTCTGAGCAAACAGATCTAGTCCTGCTTTGAACAGGGAGCTGGATCTGATGATCTTGGAGATCCTTTCCAATAAGAATTATTTTATGATTCCGTGTGTTTCTTGTACTGACTGAAGCTTTAATATTTATCTCTTACATATCTAAGGTCTTTCTTACTGCATTTAAATAATATATAGGGCTTTTGTGCAATCAGATTCTGAGCCATATGTATTAAAGAATCTATTTCTTGTGTACGCAACATGTCTACTATCACTTTGCACCTCCCTTTAGAAATGGCCTCGCAAGAGAAAAGAAGAAAATCTGATATACCAGAAAAAGTTTTGCAAGAACAAAAGAAAGAAAAAGCATATATCATACATTATGTAAAGTTAACTGAACCCGATAGAGAAGAAGGACCCTTTTCAGGTATGAACTAGGCTTTTGTGCAATAGTCATGAAATGGCACTGTGATAGATCATTCTCAGAAATACGTCACAGCATCAGCCTGAGGGGGCTACAGCCACTACATATTGTTGAAGTAGCAAAACAGTGGAATTGTAGCGTAAGAAAACAATCTACAATATTGACCTGGCTTTGAAGTGACTGTGAGGTTGAAGGCACGAGGCCTAAAGCACTCAGGAGAAAGGTGCTACTTCTGAACCCTTTTGGGTTCAAAAACAATCCAACACAATGACAACCCTGTAGTCTCTATCTCAGCGAATAGTAACTATGGAGGAAGGCAAAATTACTGCAGGCCATAATCCAATTCTACTTTTTGTTTATTTGTTTGGTTTTTGTACATGAAGACCTATTCTCCCCCTATCAAAGGAAAAAGAAAGGAAGAGATTGTAAACAACCTGCTATCTTTATATTTCTTTGCAGACATTCATGAGTCAATATTACAATGTGAGAGTCTTGTCTGTGTTTGGCAACAGAGGATATAAATTATTAGATTCAGGAAGTCTGCAGAACACCTCTCATTCAGTCTTTATTATCTAGTGTTTATATTCCCCTAAGAAATTCTGTAGTGCTTGACACACTTTTTCATATCATAGATGCTAATAATGCCCCTGACAGCGGTAGTGTGGAGGGTGACTGGGAAACCAGATTCCATTTTATGGCAAGCAAGAAAGATGAAGAGGAAAAACTGATGTTCAGATCCCAAGTAAAAGTATGGCATTGCTTCTTGAACAGGAAGACTGCTCTCAGCCTTCAGGTACAGCCGTTAGAGATGCAGTACACATGTTGCTGTATTTAATCGTCAGTTTTCATTCCAAGCATCCAAGCATTGGAAGTTTTCAGTCCAACATCCATGCACGTAACAGTCGGTTTTCCTTCCAGGCTTTGCAACATGATCCACAGAAAAAACAACCTTAAAATTGGTCCTGGACAACAGCATGAAAAAAGAAGTGACTAGAATGATTAAAATGGTTTTGATAAAATTAGAGCAGCTGTAGGCATAGCTCTTTTACATGCTTTTCTTCTATAGTACCCTTGCCTAAATTCTTCACTGTTTATTTGTTCTTTCTTGTACTTTCACCCTGTCCTTTTACTGTCTTATTTTCTTTCTGATGCATTCCACATAATTTTTATGGCATTTGGTCTGCATTGTACTTTCTGCCTAAGTGTTTGCCATTCAACCCAAATTATGCCAGCACCATGAAAAGGAATCATCAGATGTGGAAAATGAGAGAAAATTTCTCCTGCTTTTGGTAAGAAATCAGCAGAGACTTCATATTTCAGGATTTCTGTGAGTATGCCTGCTGATACAAGCATTGTCCATTAAGGATGTGAACCAGCCGTTCTGGTCAGATAAAGCTTCAACCAATTTCATACTTGGGATTCTCTGCCAGAATTCATGTTTCTGACCATAAACTAACGCAATGAAATAATTTTCTAAGCCACTTTTATATAGTTTGCAGGCTTCAACCCACTGTCTGCAGCAGGCATTCATTGGAGTAGGAGTTGGTATCTGGATAAGCAAAATCCTTCTTGGAGGTAGGTAGTGTTTCATGTACGGACTATAATTCTCAGAGTAAATACCTCTAGTCAAAAGGTAGATGGGGAAAAACTGATCAGGGATTTGGGGAACAATTCTAACTTAATACTTCCTGCTTTAAATGCACACCAGCCTTAAGCAAATAAGGGTAAATTAA